AAGGAAACCACTGAACCCGACAGTGGTCCTGGGGGAGCCGGGCACAGGCAGAGCCCCGGGAGGAGGGAGGAGAGGCTGGTATTTGCCGTGGAGTTCCGCCCCTCTCTTCCCCTCGATGCTCCCAGTCCTCTCAGGGCTGGGTCCCTAGCGCTCTCCTCTGTCTGCACCTGCCCTGGTGCGAGCGTCCCTGGCCACCCCGCTATCCATCCAGACCGTAGCGGGTGGGCCTCTGGGAGGTGGTTGGGTCGCGGGGTGGATCGCTCACAGAAGAGACCAGTGCCCCCAGAGCTGCCTCGGCCCCTTCCACCGTGGGAGGAGGCAACATCTACGGACCAGCCAGCACCGGGGCCGTCTCAGCCCCGGGAGCCCTGAGCGGTGAAGATCTGTGGCTCCCCCTTGGGGGTCTCCTTCTGTACCACCCAGATCTTCCCAGAGCTCGTGCAACCCAGACCCACAAACTCCATCTGTTCACCTGGAAGGTTCACTGAGTCCAAATGGAGCTCGGGTGGTCCCCGCGGGCCTCCCCACCTCCGCTTCTCAGCGAGGCAGCGCCTCCTTCCCACCTCCCCTTTCCACCACCGCCATGGCCGTTACTCCTGACGGAGCTCCCGTCACCTCTCGCTGGACAAGGGCAACAGCCTCTTCACCAGGCCTCCTCACCTCTGACCTCCTCCAAACAGCAGCTCCCGGCTCCGTGGGAGTCCAACAACCGCTCGCGGAGGCCTCGAGGCAGCTCGGGGAGATCCTGTGTCCACTCCCTCTGGCCTACCTCCCCGCTCTCTCCCCTCTTCACTCTTCCTCCACCAGTCCCCGCAGGGCACCCCACCTGTGTTTACTTCTCGTCTCCCCAGGCGGGCCTGGCTGCACCAGGCCCTGTCCACTGCTAGGCCCCCAGCGCCAGGCTCCAAGCAGGCGCCCTGAGTGTTGGCTGAGGGATCCGCCTCACCTGCAGCCGGGCCAGGACGTGGTGGTAGTGGAACAGGGTGCAGAAGTCCACGTGGGCCGAGAACTCCTCCAGAGCCACCTTCTCCGCCGGGCTAGAGTGGAATTCCTGTGGCCTCAGAGAGCAGAACTTCTCTTCAGAGCTCCTGCCCCGGCTGGGCAGGGCGCTTTCCCTGGCAGCACCACACAGGCAGAGCTCGGGACCTCCTAAATGGCTCGCGTTTTTGTCTGGGGGGTAAGCATTTGGCGTGGTGCTTAAGACGAGTGCCCAGGCTGGCGCCAGGGCGTAGCGGATTGAGCCGCCACCTGCAGGGCCGGCATCCCATATGGGTGCTGGTTTGAGTCCTGGCTGCTCCACTTCTGATCCAGCTCTCTGCTATGGCCTGGGAAAGCAGTGGAAGATGGCCCAAGTCCTTGGGCCCCTGACCCGCGTAGGAGACTGGGAAGAGGCTCCTGGCTCCTGGATTCGGATTGGTGCAGCTCCAGCCTGTTGCAGCCATCTGGGGGAGTGAACCAGTGGATGGAAGACCTCTCTCTGTCTCTGCCTCTCCTTCTCTCTCTGTGTAACTCTGACTTTCAAATAAATAATACTTTTTTAAAAAAAATTGTTCTTTCATTTCAGTGTGAAGAATGGGGTTTGACCAATGAAACCGAGGCCGGGGCAGGCATCTGGCCATGCGGTTGAGACACTGTTCGGACACCAACATCCCGGATCGGAGTTGGAGTCCTGACTCCGCCCTGATTCCAGCTTGCTGCTGACCCACAGCCTGGGAGGCAGCAGGTGACGGCTCAGGTACGCGGGCCCCGGCCACCCTTGCTGGAGCCCTGGGTTGTGTTCCCAGCTCCTGGCTTCAGCCCGGCCCAGCCCCAATCACTGTCCGTCTGCCTCCCAAATAAATAGATATGGTTTAAGTTTTTAAAAAGTGCTCGACATTTTCTCTTAAGAAAAAAAGAAACCAAGTCAGCCCAACGTAAGGAAGAACCTGGCCGAGAGATCTGGAGGATGAGGCGCTGCCTGGACGCGTGCTTGGTGACACTCACACAACATTTACGTGTGCCAGGCACCGTCAGCACGCACGGCGTCGTCCTCCAGGGGACACAAGGTTTGTGGGGCTGGCTGTGCCAAAGCGGGTTACACTAACACCTGCAATGCTGGCATCTCACATGGGCGCCGGTTGGAGTCCCGGCTGCTCCGCTTCCAATCCAGGTCCCTGCTAATGCACAGAGGAAAGCAGCAGATGGCACAAGTGCTTGGCCCTCTGCCACCGACGCGGGGGACCCAGGTGAAGCTCCGGACTCCTGGCTTCAGCCTGGCTCAGCTCCAGCCATTGCAGCCATTTAGGCAGTGAATCAGCAGATGGAAGACCTCTCTCTCTCTAACTCTCCCTTTCAAATGAATCTTAAGAGAGAGAGAGAGAGAGAGAGAGAGTTTCGTGGAATTACAACTGCCCTTTAAAAAAAGAGATTTATTTTATTTACTTGAAGGACAGAGTTACAGAGAGAGGTAGAGGCAGAAAGACAGGTCTTCCCTCTGTTGGTTCACTCCCCAGATGGCCGCAACAGCCGGAGCTGCCCTGATCCGAAGCCAGGAGCTTCTTCCGGATCTCGCATGTTAGTGCAGGGGCCCAAACACTTGGGCCATCTTCTGCTGCTTTCCCAGGCCATAGCAGAGAGCTGGATCAGAAGAGGAGCAGCCGGGACTAGATTTGGTGCCCATATGGGATGTCGGCACTGCAGGCCAGGGCTTTAACCCGCTGCGCCACAGCGCCAGCCCCCTACAACTGCCCTTTTTCAGAGGGAGAGAGGCTTGGGGAAGTCACCGTATCGCAGGGAGGTGACTGTGACACAGGCCTGTCTGACTCCACAGCGCACAGGAGCGCCAAGCCTCTGCTTCCTGGGCAGTGACAGAGGACCGCACTCTGCTTCTTGGAGGACTGACGGGGGCCGGATGTGACCACGCATGGCCACAGGTGCACGTGATGTCTGCATTAAGTGTAGCACAGGATTCAGCATGTGGGGTGGGTGCTCAGTGAACAACTGCCACCTGAGGGGCCAGCACTAGGCTCAGCAGGTTAACGCCCTGGCCTGACGCGCTGGCATCCCATACGGGTGCCGGTTCCAATCCCGGCTGTTCCTCTTCTGATCCAGCTCTCTGCTGTGGCCTGGGAAAGCAGTGGAAGATGGCCCAAGTCCTTGGGCCCCTACACCTGCGTGGGAGACCTGGAAGAAGCTCCTGGCTTCAGATCGGCACAGCTCCGGCCGTTGCGGCCAACTGGGAAGTAAACCATTGGATGGAAGATTTCTCTCTCTCTCTCTCTCTCTCTCTGCCTCTCCTCTCTCTGTGTAACTCTGACTTTCAAATAAATAAATACATCTTAAAAAAAAAAAAAAAACTGCCAACTGAATGAATGCAAACCCTCATGACAGAAGGCATGGCGGGGGTCAGAATCCGGCTCCGGACTGGGGCCAGTGAAGAAGGCACCCAAGGGGGCCAGCATTAAGAAGGCACTCGTGTAGGCTGGAACATGGCCTCACCCTGCTCCCGATCCAGCTCTGGAGTCAGACCCCTGGACTGTTACTTTCCCTCTGAATGTATTCATCACCTCTATAAAACAGAGATGGGGGTGCAATGTCTCTTACTGGGTTGTTAGGATGATGGGACAACACATGACGAAGGCTTGGTGCGATGCCAGAGTAAGAACCCAAATGGTGTGACGATAATTATGAGCCTAGCTTTGTGACACTGTATGTATAACTACTACTGGGTAGCAAAACTAGTGATGATGAGGATTACTTGTTTTAGGGGGGTGGGGGAGGGAACACAACACCATACTCCAGAAAGCTCTGTCAAGGTTCCAGAAGAAGCTGGAGTCAGGAATCGAAGCCGTATCTGCAACTCAGAGGTCGGGCCCTGGCATTGCAACACACCTCGCACACACCCACGTGGGACTGGAGGAGACCGCCCAGGGAACTACAACTCCCAGGAGGCGCCAGGGCAGCCCTCTACAGTATGTGGGCGCCCTGCCGCCGCAAAGCTTGCCGGGAGCCGTAGTCCCCAGGCCCTAGGTCCCGGGACGGTCGGTACCTGGATCAGGAGGCGGAGCAGCTGCTCCTTGGAGAATGGAATGAAGCGCTCGCGGTACTGCTGGGCCCAGTCGCGGGGCTCCGTGGGGTTCCACATCTTGCGGTACTCCCCCATCTTGGCTGCCAGGGACGAGAGGGCCCGCGGGGGCCCGAGGAGCGCGGGCAACAGGGGCCATACTCGGAACCTGGACCCGCAGACCCCCCGGGTCACATGCCACATAGCCAGGCCCTTTCCCGGGAGCCTAAACGGAGGGAAACGACAGAGGCCAAAGGTCATGTGGATGGAACGCCCTCTCCACCTCCACGCCCCGCCCTGCAGAGGCCGCCGCTGCCCCGGCCAGGGCGGAGTGCACCCGCTGCCCCGTCGCCCCGCTTGCCTTTCCTCTCCCACGCGCACACCTGGCCTGAGGCCTAGACAGGGGTCAGGGATCCTGGGTTTTGGGGCGCTCTGCAGGCCTAGACACCCAGAAGTAGTACAACTGACTTCCTCAGGGTCTAGCCGGCGAGGTGGACTTTAGGAACATAGGAGATGCTCCAAAAGGCTACTTAGGGGGTGCAGGGCCGCCCTCCCCCGGCCAGACAATCCCTCGCCTCTCCCTCACCTTAGGCAACGCTCGACTGTCATTGAGCCTCCTGCGCATGTGCAGAAGGGCGTCCTTGGCCCCCAAGGTTTGGCTTCAGCCTGTAGTAAAGCGCATGCGCAAATCCGGGTTCTTACTGCGCGATCCATTTTTTTCTCCCCTCCCACTCTCAGTTGCGCATGCGCGACCTGTTAGCCTCTCCACCCCGTCCTCATTTGGACGCGGCGCATGCGCTCAAGGGGTGTCTCCTTGTCCGCCGGCTTCAAAGGGAAGGGGCGGGACAGGCGCGAGACTCCCGGTAGGCCTGGGGCGGGGCAGGGCTCCCGCGCGCCTCCCGCCAACGGCGAGCGTCCCAACGTCCACTAAGGCCCCGCCCCCTCTCGTGTTCGCCCCTGAGTAGGCGGGAGAAGAGAGGGGCGGGGCTTTGGTACAGCCAATCAGCTGTGGAGAAGCGAAAAGGCGGGAAAAAGCGGAACCAAAAGACTGAGGGGCGCCAGGCACCAGGAGGGGGGCGCAGGCGGAAGGAAGGGCCGGCCTCCAGCCAGGTGACGCAGAGCGGTGCTCCAGAGCCGGGGGAGGGCCCCCCAGGCCTCGGCACTCACACGTCCCTAGAGGGGAGACCCCGGTTCTTAGAAGGTAGACTAGCGCGGGGGACACGGCCACCTCGTTCTGGGGGCAAGTCTCAGGTCCAGACTCCCCGCTGGAGGCAGTGCGCTTTGGGGAAAATGGCGCCGAATTCCAAGGGGAGGCCCTTAATTCTGGGCAACATCCAGATGGCAAGGACAGTCTAGAATATTCCCTGAGATGCCCAGCGCCTCCGACAGCGATGCTGCCCCCTCTCGGGCTGAAAGGGGCCCTGACAGCCACTGCCAACCCCTACTCCCCATGGACACCCCCCGTGTCGTCTCGTGAGAACACAGCAGCCCGTGACCTGGGCCCTCCCGGGAGGACCCCCAATGTCCCCTTGATCAGGGGGCCCCGCACCCACCCCTGGGAGTCCCACCCCACAGCCCCCGCCCCACTCCTGACTTCTGGAATCCTGAGCAGCCCCGTTCCCAGGGCGCCCAGAAATCCCTCCTGCCTTATTCCTGACGCCATCAGCCCCTGCCTCTGGGACTTCCAGCAGCTCCTCAGCCACACCCCCTGAGCCCCAGGAGCCCTGGCAGCCCTCACCCCATGCCCCCTCAACCCCACTCCTGGCCCCCTACTTCCCCCGCCCTGTGCTACTGTTCAGGGGGCCCCAGCAGCCCATGACTCTGACAGCCCCCCCATCTTGTCTTGCAGCAACCGCGCCCCAGGGTGGGCCTGGAGCACCCCGACAGCAGCACCCCGGCGGCCGCACCCAGCACCCCCGCCCCTTCCTGCCATAGCCCCAGCAGCAGAGCGGCCGCCATGCACTTCCCCGAAAGCCTCCAGGACCTGGCAGACAGTGAGGCCGTGCGGTTTCTGAGGAGGCCAAAGACCATTGTGCGGATCCTGGCAGGGGTGAGGCCCTCCTGGGGCCCCCCGGCACCCCTGGGTGGCAGAACAGGAGTCCTGGGCTCTCAGACCCAAGCAGAGAAGCAGGGGTCCGCTGGGAAAACAAAACAAGAGGGAGCCCATGGCTGAAGCTGCCTCTCTCTCTCTCTCGATTTATTTATGTATTTGAAAGGCAGCGTGACAGAAGGAGAGAGAAAGAGATCTTGCATTGCTGTTCACTCCCCAAATTGCAACAGCTAGGGCTGGTCCAGGCAGAAGCCAAGGGCCCAGAATTCCATCCGAGTCTCTCACATGGGTGGCCCACCTGGGCCATCGTCCACTGCTTTCCCAGGCACATTAGCCGGGAGCTGGATGGGAAGTGGAGCAGCCGGGACTCGAACCAGCGCCCATAAGGGATGCCGGCGCTGCAGGCAGCAGCTTAATGCGCTGTGCCCAGTGCTGGTCCCCGAAGCTGCCTCTCCCAGAGAGCAACTGGCCCTGAGAGTAGGAACAAGCTCTTCAAAGGAGGCCCTGCCCGGCCCCCTTAGAGATAAGGAAACAAGGGGTCAGAAAAGTGAAGTAACTTTGTACAGACAGTGCTGTCCAGCGTGCTTTCCATCAGAGCAGATTAAAAAAACCTCAGTTCTGTTCCGCAGTCCCCATGGCCGTGGTGCCAGTGCCCCACAGCCGCACGTGACTGGTGGCTCCCCATTGGATGGTGCCAGGACGGAACACTGGCTGTCAGGCCAGAAAGTTCTATTGGCTGGGGTGTGGCCGAGGCCACGCAGCCGGAGGCAGGGCCAGGGCTCAACATTGGGTCCGTGAGATGCCTGAGCCCCTTCCGTTTGCAGCTCTCCGGCAGGGGCTCTAGGAAGTGAGGTACGGGCAGGTGGGAAGAGAATGGCGTAGCCCAAAGTGCGTGTGGCACCAGGCACCAGGCCAGGGGCTTTACGTCACTGCCACCTCCTCGAAGAACCAGGACACCTTGGTCCGATCGGCGCTGCTCTGCACGGCTTTGTGCCTGAGCGGTCAGAGCCAAGGCTCTGGGCTCTAACCTGCCCTGCTTGGCTTGCCTAGCTTTGGCAGAATTGGAAACAGACCCAGGGAGGTCAAACCCAGGTCTCTCCAAGGTTCCTCCCCCGACCCCTGCATCTCCTCCCGACCCCTTCTGGAGCCCTGTGGCCAGGGAAGGAGCCCACAGGCCTCGCTTGGAGCCCTGCGTGCTTGCCAGGGTGGGTGGCCCCACTCTGCCTGAGCCAGCCTGGCTGCAGTGGCGGCGGTGGCACCTCCTCTCTCCCTGTCTCTCTCACAGGGGCCCCGCTTTGTCCCCTAGCTCCCCTGCTCACGGGGCGTCCGCATGACCTTGAGCAAGCTGGCTTCCCTGAGCCTCTGCACCCTCATTTGTGACAAGCGGATCCCGAAGGCCCACCCACAGGAAGCAGATGAAAGGGGTGCACGCCCCCTAAACTGACTGGCAAGGGCCTGCCAAGTAGTCCTTTCCCTAAGCAGTGATTACCAGTGGGGAAAAGTCATGACTAGCGAGGCAGGAGAGAGACGCTGCCCGGGCCTCTGGCGATGGGGGCTGCGTCACGTGGTCCTTCTCCCCCAGGGGCACAGGAGACCTGTGAGTGCCCTGCCCAGGTCCCTCGCTCGCACCCTGCCTAACCCACGGGGAAACTGAGGCTAGCCCAAGGACGTTCCCCAGCTGCTGAGCAAACCAAACTGGGTCTGCCCGCCGTCTCCGAGGCCTCCGACGGCGGGGCGGGTGGCCAGGGAGAAGGAGGCCCAGCTGGCGCGGACTGGTGCGGGGCAGGGGGAGGAAGGGGCCGCCCGGACGCGCCAGACGTTCTGGTCACGGACTTTGCCCGCCGCCCTCCCCCTCCCCCCTGGCCTGGCTCCTCAGTAGGGAGTCTCTGGGCAGCTGGCGCTCTGTCCTCACTGCCGCCTGCCAGCTGGTGCCTTCACTGATACGTCTTTGCTCCCTCCCTGAGGACAGGCCGGGGAGGGCGTGGACGGAGGTTGGGCTCGGGCTGCAGAGGGAGACGGTCCGGCCAGCCCAGCCAAGCCCCCTCCTCGGGGGCAGGGCCCGAGCTGGCGCTGCAGCTCCGGGTTCTTGGGGTCGGTGGACTCTGAGCCCACGGGGCTGGGAGGCCTGGGCTGTAGTGCTCCCGCCTCTGCCCGCTGACCTTAAGGGGATGCTTCCTCTCTGGGCACCTGCTAGGACCCAGTGCCCACCCCTCCCCGCCCCCCCTCTTCATAGCATCGACTGGGAAACTGAGGCTCCCAGGGCCACACTGCTGGCAGGTTCCATCAAATCTGTTTCAAGTCTGCCCTAATAGCTCGATTTATCACCTGAGAGAGAGAGAGAGAGAGAGAAAGAAATTAACAGTATCTCTTGCGTGGGGCCGGGGCGAGGTCCCAGGGAGGTGGCGCAGGTGAGCCGGAGTTGGGCTCGGACATGATGGATGCACTGTCCGCCCTCCACCTGGCTCTGCCTTGGGAGCCTCTAAGAGCCACCCCCTGAGGGCTGCTGCGGGGGTCTCAGGAGCCGGTGGTGGCTGTGAGGGCTGTGGAGCGGGGCAGGATGAGGGGGTCGTGTTTGCTGGTGTGCTTGTTTGTCCGTGTTGGTGTTCAGAGAAGGCAGTGGAGCAGAGGCGAGAGGACGGAGGTGGGTCGGTCCTCTGAAGGTCACAGCCAGAGCCAGGCAGCCGAACCCGTTCACTCTTCCAACACACACTTGCTGAGGCCCGGTGAGGCCCGGGTGCCGGGGGTGGAGAGAAGGCGCCCTCCGAGAGCTGGTCCCAGAGGAGCTGGGCTTCTAACGCAGAAGGTTCGGTTGTTTTTGTGCCCTGAGCTCACTCCCCTGCCAGCCCCAGCACCAGCACCACCGCATCCAATCAATCACCAGGTCCAATTTCGCGTCCTAAATATTACCTGACTCCCCAGGGCTCTGGTCTTGGTGCCTCTGGCCTGGGGCCTCCTCAGCAGCCTCCGCTCGAGTCTGCGGGCCCCCTGCCTCCACCCAGCCCCTCTGCCAGGTGACCCCAGAGGACGGCTCTGACCCACCCTCTGCTCAGCACACTGCTGTGCATAAAGTCACACCCAAGGAAGAAATGGAAGCTCGGGATCCCCCCCCCCCCCCCGCTCTCCGCGCTCGGCTGGCCCAGCTCCCTCCTGTCCCTGGAGGAGCCCTGCGCTGCGCCTGGGACGCCCTTCCTCCTCCTCCTGCCTGGTGAACGCCTCATCCTCTCTGATCTCCATCCGATCCCAGTGTTTCACCCCCCAAACCCAGCCCCACGACATCAGTTCTCACTCAGACCTCAAACCCCAGCCTCCCCCCTGCTTGCAGATTCACCCCTTCCGCCAGAGGGCTCCACCCGCCCAACGTGGCCACCTGTTGCCCTCCAGACAATGTGCGCACTCCTTAGCCTTTCTCCCCCTTTACACTCATAAGCATCGCCTCGTCCAGGAGCCCCCCGGACCCGCCCCCCCTCCCCCATGTACACACTGGCTCCTTCTGTCTGGCACAGACCACACCACCTAGGACCAAAGTTCCACCGAATTGGTCTGGCAGGAAGCCATGGGGCCAGCAAAGAGCAGACCCAGGAGTCAGGCTGCTCGGGTTCAAGTCCCGGCTGTGCCCCCGGCAAGCTGAGGCGTTTGGCCAGGCTGCCGGTCCTCTCTGTGCCCCGGTCTCACAGTCTAGGAAATGGGGTCGTGCGTACTGCCGTGTCCTGGGCTGGCCGTCAGGGCGGCCTGGGCCTGTGTCTGCAGTGCCTACGCCACTGAGGAAGGCAAGGCTGAGCAGGTGCAGACCCGGGCACACACAGTGGGGCAAGATTACCGAACCAGTGCTGTGCTGGGGCCCCCCTCCCCCAAGCCCCGATGCAAAACAAACAATTATTCATTCTAAGCAGCCTGCACTGGGTGTGGCATTTCTCTGTGCTTTTTTGCATATTTGGGCTATTTCACAAACTTACTTGGAAAAAATGAACAGGAGCTGGCGGGGCTGGGAGGAGAGACAGAAGTCACAGGCAGAGAAGGGTTGGGTGCGAAGAGCCTAGGGATGCTCGTGGGCTGTCCCTGGCTCCTGGCTCAGCGTTTTATCTCAGTACCTGGGTCTGGCGGCAGAAGTGGGGCGTGGAGTGAGGTGTGGGCGTGGGGCAGGAGCTGCAATTAGAAGCGGGAGGAGAGGGGACACCAAGTAGAGCCCACCCTGGAGGACCTGGTGGGGGCGGGGCCATGGCCCACAGAATGCCATGGAGGGGACGGGCTGAGGGGCCACGATTCCGGAGGACGAGGCCTTGGCCTGGCTACAGAAGAGGGGACGAGGAGCGGGCTGATGAGGAGGGCCGGCCCCACAGGGGACCAGGCGTGTGGGAGCACCGTCCACCCCGGGGACCTCTGAGCTCCCCGCCTGGGCCCTGCAAACCCACAGGTCTTCTCCCTGGTGGTCTTTTCCTCACTGCTGACCGACGGCTACCAGAACAACATGGAATCCTCCCAGCTCCGCTGTGTCCTCAACAGCAACAGCGTGGCCTGCAGCTTCGCCGTGGGAGCCGGCTTCCTGGCCTTCCTCACGTGCGTGGCCTTCCTCGCCCTGGACGCCAACGAGGCCCGCATCACCAGCACCCACTTGAAGACAGCCTTCCAGCTCCTGGACTTGATCCTGGCTGGTGAGCTCCCAAACACCACCCCCCACCCCAGCCTGCTCCCAGCCCTCCCCAAGCACCTGCTTCAGGCCCACGTCAAGGTCACGGCCCCTGTGACCCCACCTCCCCGGCTGATTCTAGAAACCTTCCCAGTGTTTCCCTCGCGCTCACCCCACGTCTGGAAAAGCCACCAGGTGGCAGGAAGCGGGGTTCAGAGCCCTGGCCAGAGAGCTGGGTTGGAAATCTCGCCCTGGGGCTTGCCCGAGTCGCACCTGCTTTGAGCCTCTGAGGAGGCAGGGGCGTGGCAGGGGGCCTCCAGCTCACAGGGTGCTTCCGGGAATGACGAGCTAGGGAGCCTGCAGTCCCTTTGCTCCCTCCTCGTCCCCCTGAGCCCGTCCCAGCAGCTCAGGGCCCAGGGAGTCCTGCCAGCCACGGCAGCCACTGCGTCCGGCACCAGCTGAGGCCCCTGGGTGAGGGGAGGTGCTCTGAGCCTGCGCGCGCCAATGCAGGGGCCCACCTGACCAGGTGGAACTAAACTTCTCAACTCTGTTCAATAACTGAAATGGCCTGTTCCAGGCCTCAGCTTTCAGGATTGGGGAGGAGCTGGGAGACCCCCAGCCCTGCCGGCCTCCCGCTGAGCAGGCTCTCCCCGGCCCCTCTCCTCTCCTTACACCACAGTCCTCTGGGCAGGCGTCTGGTTCGTGTGCTTCTGCTTCCTGGCCAACCAGTGGCAGCACTCGCCACCCAAGCAGTTCCTCGTGGGCAGCGGCAGTGCCAAGGCCGCCATCACCTTCACCTTCTTCTCCATCCTCATCTGGGTGAGGATGGGTCCCTCCCTGCTCCCCGGGCAGCCCTCTGCAGGTTGGGGTGAGACAGCTAGAACATTCCTGCTCAGCTCACCTGGGAGTCAGGAGTGGGGGGCCCCCAGGACACCCCTTCCTCCCAGCAGCCCCAGCTAGCTCAGCCACCCCAGTCTGCCTCTCCCTTGTCAGCCCCAGGCCCTCTCCCCTCCTGCCCAGCCCAAGCCAACCTTGCAGCGCACCCTCTTCCGCCCACAGATAGGCCAGGCCTACCTGGCCGTCCAGGACCTCCGAAGCGATGCTCCCGTCCCCTACAAGCGCTCCCTGGATGAGGGCGGTGTGGTGCTGACCACCCTGTCCCCACCCTCGGCCGCCAGCCCCGTCAACACGCCCCCCACCGGCCCCAACAGCCTGAACTACTCCAGCTCTGCCCTGTCCCCCTACGTGGCCGCCCCGAAGGCCCCCCGCCTTGCAATGATGCCTGACGACTAGACATGCTTATCCATCCACAAGAGTAAAGCCACGGTCCTCCCTCCAGGAGGGTTTCCGGAACCTCTGTCCTTCTCCCGTCTGTTCCTCTCCGGCCCCGGGTGCAGCCGGAGAGGGGGTGGCCATCCCACAGGGTCACCTGGGGGTCTCTGCAGTCTCCGTCCACCTCTGGGGCTCCACCCCGATAGCAGCAGATTGGAGGTGACAGGCAGGACTTAGTCTGTCCAGCTGTCACCCAGTGAAGTCCCCACCCCAGCCACAGCGGGGGGTGGGGGTGGCACAAGACGCCCCACACAAGCTCAAGTTCAGAGATGGGAGGGGCTCCCACCTGGAGAGCATAGGCAGGACCCAGCCTTGAGCCCTGCAGGGAACATGCGGTGAGGGCCTGGGACTCAGCTGCCACTCGGCTCCCCCCCAGCCTTTCAAAGCCCATCCTGGGGAAGAGGGAGGCGTCTTTATCAACAGCTGGCCTGCTGCAGCGCCAGCGAGGGCCCTGTGACGGGTGTGACCGGGACAGGGCGGGGGCTCTAGAGCAGTGCTGGCCCACTAAAACCGGAAACAAGTGACACCAATCTTAATACAGTTTATTTAACCCAATATATCCAAGAGTCGCATTCCCACATGTAATTGACATCAAAACTCAGGCATTTCGTACTTCTTCATACCGTGGTGAAAACCCACTGCGCGCTCACGCGGACGGCGTTCCCCCGACTCAGACTGCGCCGCACGCGCTCAGCGGCCCTGACAGAACTAAGAGAACTAGGTGCTATTCCACTGGACAGCATAGCTCTAACCCTCCTCGTTTTTCTAGAACGACTGGAAATCCATTTTGTCATGAGGATTTTTTTATGACAAATATACCCCCCCAAAAAAACAAACAAAAAAAAGCCTCGCCACGGGGCACACGTGGCCGGCAAATGTTAGTTAACACCCCGGACAAAGGCACTGAGCTGTTGGGTTCCATTAGTCTCAGGCTGCTCACGCGGCCGGCCCCATGCTCCATCCTGGCGGGACAGAAGTAAGTGTGACGCGGTCCCTGTGGGCCTCTGGACTGAAAGGGCAGCAGCCGCGGGACAGGAAGCAGCTGACACGAGCCAGCCTCTCTGTTGCAGGCTGGGCCGTCCTGGGTGCGTCAGTTTCCCGGGGCCCACACGCCCTTGCCTGCCAAACTCAAGAAGGGCATCAGATCCAGGAGGTTTTCAGTTTGTGTCCACAGAGGTGCACTGGGGCTCAGCAGACAGGGAGTCCGACCCCAGGGTCAACCCTAGCAGCCCAAAAAAGCCAGTTGGGAAGCAGGGGCTGTGGTCAGGCCCACAGGCTCCGGAAGCCCTGGGTGCCGCTGAAGGCACAGCCCCCAGCACACCTCCCGGGCACAGGAGCAGGCAGGGCAAGGGTGGCATCAGGACGGTCTCAGAGGGCGCGGAGGGAGTGCTTCAAGGCAAGGGTCAAAGGTCCAGAAGCCGACAAGAGCCAGGCAGGTGTGGTCCACGGGAGGGACTAGGCCAGGTGAGAGCTTCTGGGCCAGACAGCAGGCAGAAACCCCCACTGGGAGCCCAGGAAGGAAAGGCAATGGCCCTGGAGCCGAGTCCTGGGGGCCGCGCCGGGAAGCTGGCAGCCCAGCCACTCAGTCCCGGCCACCTGCAGCCATCCAGAACCCAGCGCCCGGCACTGCCACACCAAGAGAAGCCAGAAACCCAGACTTTAGTGGGAAAGCTGGGCGTGTGGGCCGGCAGCCCTGTTCCCTTCCTGTTAGCATTATTTTATAAAAACAGAGTGGAGCCTGTGACGCACTCGTTCTCGGAGGCCCTCGGCAGCCCCAGGGCCAGGTAAGAGGAATCCTCCAGGTTTCCTCCAGAACCTCTTCCCCGGCGGAGCCGCGAGGGGCCAGGGTGCAGCCCAGCTCCTCATCCTCCTGCTCCGGCCGGGCCCTGGTCACCTGCGGACAGTGGGCTTGATGGGGCGAAGGCCGGAGCAGGACCCCACACACAGCAGAGAGTGCAAGGAGGAGCAAGAGGAGAGGTACCGTGTTCCTCTGTTTATTTGAAGAGAACAAAGAATCAACCACCAGCTCTGTACAAAAACATGGCCTGAGAGCCGTGACTCCTAAGGCCGGCCCCTTTCCTATCCCCCGACCCCAATCCCCACCCCCACCCCCCAATTTGTCAGAAAAAAAAAAAAAAAACAGGGTAAGATCAAAAAACCCAAACTCTGCAAAAACATTATCATGAAAACAGCAGGGAGACCGTCCTGGGCCCCCCTCACCCCCTCCCTCCCCTCCCCAGGAATTGGGGGCCGTGGGGGTAGGGGCTGTGTTGGTGGCCACGGTGGGCAGCAGGGTGGGGGTGGGGTGGCAGGTTTAGTGTTTGGCAGCCAGGGGGGTTGAGGGCGGGGGAGATCTGTGATGCTGTCCCGGCCCCCAAAGGACACCCAAAAACAGTTTATAAAAACCAGGACCAGAGCGCAGAAGAGAAAAGAGTCTTCAGGATCCAAAACTAAATAGTGGAAAGATTTTTTTTTCTTTTCTAAAAGGCAAAAAACTACAAATATCCCAGGTCCTGAGCTCCCCAAGACTTGGGTCCTCCACCGCCCGCCGCCCCCCAAAAAAAACCCGGCAGGAGGGGGATGGGGAGCGGGGAGAAGTTGTTCTTAAAAAATCACCCCGATGGGAAGGCTGTTCCCCGTCAGCTTCCTCCGCCGCCCGCCGCCGTCAGGGCCAGGGCCAGGGCTATGCCGGCAAACTCAGCTTCTTCCCCTTCAGGACTGCGGGGAGAGAAAGGGGGCGGGCGTTAGTCCCAGAGGCCCCGATCACGGAGCTGGGGACCCTGGCCTCACCCAGGGGCTGAGTCATGGCCCCACTTCTGCACCGGCTGCTCCTGCCCCCTTGAAGAACTCGGGCTGGGGGCCAAGGGTTGGTGAGGGAGGTGGGGTCAGAGGGCCTCAGCCTTAACCCCCAGAGCAGGGGGAGTGCTGGGAATTACACACACACACACACCCCGCCCTTCACCTTGTAGCCCCTCCCTCTTCACAAAGCTTCTGGTTTTCAGGCCTCTGCCCAACATCACCTCCTACAGGCAGTCCCCCAGTCTCTGCAGTGATTCACAGAAGCATCTGGGGTTCCCTCGCTTCCTAGCCCTGACCCTGATCCTCACTACGGGCAGCCCCTCCCGCACTAGAACGCAAGGGGACAGGGCCTTGTTCCCCGGGGAGGCAGGGGTTGGAGGTCGAGCTCCTAGGAGGGCGGTGGGCATGAGCTTGGGGAAGTGGGAGAAGCAGACCCCAGGGCCTCCCACCCCCTGCCCCCCGCTACCTTTGGTGACGTAGAGGTAGAAGAAATCGCAGTAGAGAACCGTCTGGACCAGGCCGGCCACGATGGCGATGAGGTCGAAGAAGCCCTCGAAGTGGTAGCGCCAGATCCAGTTGAAGAGATAGAGCGTGCGGTAGACGCCCAGCGCGAACAGGTAGTGGCTGGTGATGGTCTCCGCCTCGCCCGTCTTGCTCACCATGAACAGCTGCGGCAAGATGGCTACCGACTCCAGGTAGATGGAGAAAGTCCAGAGGATCTGTGCGGGGCGGAGGCCGGGGCAGAGAACAGGGCACGAATGGGAGGGCAGCAACACAACCCCGGCACGCGCACACCACCGTGAGCACCCGAGGAAACAAGGCGCCGGGCAGGGGAGACGCTCGCACCACCCAGGGAGCAGCAGGGCCGGCGCTCCAGCGAAGGGCGCGCGGTTGGAACCTGGGCACCCAGGCCGTCCAAGCCTCCGCCTGCCCGTCCCTGCGGTGGGCACGGAATCTCCCCACTCCCCTCCACTCCCCGACTCGAAAGCCTCTGGCGGTGGGGGAGGGGCAGTGTCAGGTGCAGCGTCTCCTCTCCGGGACACCAGGACACCAAGAGTCCCACATCCGCTTCCGACTCCAGCTTCCTGCCTGCTCCCGCACACCCCGGCAGGCAGCGGGTGACGCCTCAGGTCCTCGGGTCCCTGCCACTCAGCAAGGGAGACCCAGAGGGAGTTCTGGGCTCCTGGCTTTGCTGTGGCCCTGCCCTGGCGGTCACACACATTGGCAGAGTGAAACAGCAGATGGAAGATCTCTGTCTCTTTGCCTTTCAAATAAGTTGAGGAAGGAAAAAAAAAATCCCCTGGCAGCTTCTCCCTGTTGCAAACAGAATAAAAATCCAAACTCCTGATCTCGGCTGTCAAGGTCCTGCCCAATCCCATCTTATTCCCTGCGCAGGGCCTTTGCACTCACCACTGCTCGGAGAGGGACTGTCCCGTCTCCCCTTTCCGGACCCCCACATCAGCCCATCTTATCTCCTTTCTGGCCGTGCCCACCTGAACGCGCACATCCTGTTCCCCCTGGGGGCCCCAGCACCTAGCACAGCTCCTGAGTGAGTGGAGGGAAACAGTGTCTAGAGAGGGCTAGGAGCCTGCACCACCACTGGGCACCCCAGGGACTGCTGGACGACGAGAGGAAGAGGCTGCGCCCCGCCAGCCCCTTTTCAGGCCCCGGTTCTGAAAGTGCCACCTGGGCCACTCGTGGTCTGCGAGACGCACTGAAACCTCCCCTCCAAGAGCAGAGCAGGTGGCAGCTGTGGGCCCTGCGCAGTTGCTTTGGTTTGCGGGATCCCCCCCGCCCCCCCGCTGGCCCCGCCAGCACTCACGGTATCCAGGCGTCGCTCACTGGCTGAAGCCTCACCCCACGCCCCCCACCCCACCCAGGTAGCTCCTGTTATTCCCGAAATACAGAGAACCTGAGGCCCAGGGGACAGGCAACTGACCCAAGGACACGCCAGATTCCTGCTCCCACTCTCCAGAATCTTCCAGCAAAGCTCTTGGCAAGCCAGGCCGGCTGGGGCTCTCAGGAACCCGTCACCCCCTCGGGGTTGCAGAAGCACCAGCAAAGGGGATGTGAAAGCTCTGATGCATCCTACTCGATTTTGTGGTATCTGAAATTTCCTGAAAGTATTTATTTATTTCAAATTAATTGCAGAGACAGCTCCTATCCGTTAGTTCACTCCTCAAATGCTGGCCACAGGCCCCCAGCAGGGGCCAAAGCCAGGAGGCAGAGATGCAGTCCAGGGGCTGGAACCGTGGCGCAGCAGGTTAAGCTACGGCTTCAGATGCCGGCATCCCACGTGAGCACCGGTTCAAGTCCCGGCTGCTCCACTTCCAATCCAGCTCCCTGCTAATGCGCCTCGGAAAGCAGCAGCAGATGGTCAAAGTACCCTGGGCCCTGCCACCCGCGTGGGCCACCAGGATAGAGTTCCAGGCTCCTGGCTGGGCCAGGCTGTTGCAGCTACTTGGGGAATGGACCAGCAATTGAAAGACCTCTCCCTACACCCCCTCTGTGTGCGTCTCTTTCTTTCCCTGCCTTTCAAGGGAGGGAAAGAAGGGAGAGAGAAATGCAATCCAGGTCTCCCCAGTGGGCAGCAGGAACCCACTGCTGCCCCTCAGGATCCACACTGGCAGGAAGCCGGGTCAGGAGCCGGACCTGAGGCCTGGGATGTGGGACACAGGCATCTTACCCCGGTGTCCGAATGTTGAAAGAACTATATGCTCCCGAGTGAACCAGCGGGTATAGACCCCTCTCCCCTCTCCCCTCTCCCTCTCTCTCCTCTCTGTGTAACTCTTTCAAATAAATAAATCTTTAAAAAAAATAATATATGCTCCCTCTATGCTTAAAACATGATTTTTTTTTTTTTTTAGCATGCACCAGTTAACAGCATGGGCTTCGGGAACAGGCTGACCTGGGTTCGAATGCTATGAGCTCGAATCACCTGTGTCTGTGACCTTAGTCCTTGGAGAAATGGGGATGCAGGTGCCTGCTTCTTTGGGGACCAGGACATCAGACAGCATGCTTGGAAGGCCTTGCTTGGGGCTGAGCACACAGTTGGTGCCAATATTTTGCACAAGTGCCCCCCAACACACACACACACTTTGCATGAAAGGGCCTCAAAAGCTGGAGTCCAGAGGCCCAGGTTCTGGCCTGGCCTCCGCTGCCTTGAGCAAGCCCACTGCTGTCCCTAGCCACACTCAGTCTCCTCATCTGGAAAATGGGCACAGGGTGGTTTGGGTAGGTGCCCGTTGCAAGCTACCAATGACAACACACAGGCAAAGTCCAGGACCTGCAGCCAAGCCAAGGAACCCCAAGGGCTAGAGTCACCCACTGGCTGGCTTTGAAAACTATATTTTGAATCTGTGACCAACACTTTTAAATGAGATCCTGCCTGAAGACAGAATTCTGACTTCCAATGGAAACCTCGGCAGGTCTGGCCGCCCAGGGTTAGCTTCCTACGAGGCAGGGGGCGGGCGTGAGGGCAGGAAGGCTGCCCTGGATTTGGGATTCCTGCCAGGCCCCAGGAGACACACGATCAAGGCCTAGAGGAGTTTGTACCGGCCCCGCCAAAACAGCGGGTGATGAGAACCACGGCAGCTAAGGTCCAGAAGCAGAAGCACCATGCTTGGGACTAAGCACTCCCGTCTCCGGACCAACCTAGACACGGCTCCTCCAACCTCCCGCCAGACACTGTGCTCGGGGGAGCCAAGGGGGACGAGCTGAGCCCCCCGTCTGCCAGCCGGAAGTCCCTGGCACCGATAAGCTGCAGAACTTGCCAGAAGTACCGTGGCTGCGGAGTGGGCAGAACAGGGCCTCACATCCCCGCGCGCTGGCTCCAGAGCCCAGCCGTGTTTTCCCACCAGGCCAAGCGTGTGGCTCTCGGTAGCTGTTTGTCAGTTTACAAACGGGGAATCAGAGGCACCGACGGCTCAAGTTGGGGACCCAGTGTCACGCCAATAAAATCTGGCAGATCTGGGATCCAGTTCCTCAGTCTGGTTCTCGCTGGGCCAGTGGCCCTGGACACGGCGTTTAGATGCCCTGGGCCTCAGTGTTCTCACCAGTGAAATGGGACTATTAGGAGTGAAAAGCTAACACAGGTGGAATGCTCACCACAGCGTCTGGCACAGCCCGCGCACCCAACAAGTGAGACAAGGCGGTCTGAGCGGACCCCACAGGAGACAGCTCTAGGGAGGGTCGGGCCAGGCTCCTCCCACCTGACCGTCGCAGGGCCCGGGAAGGGCGGCCTACCTCCAGGGGGGTGAAATCATGGTTCACCAGGAACGCCAGGACGGCCGTGGGGACGACGAGGAACTCCACCCGGAAGGTGTCGTGGTTGCCGTCGTAAGTGGCTTTGAACTTGCTGTAAATCATCCAGACTGTGGTGAAGGAGCAAGCTATGTAGACCACCTGATGGGGGCGGGGGGGGGGGGGCGGTGAGGAGAAGGCGGCTCGGCCCGCAGGGTGGGGCCTGGGCCACCTGCAGGACACCCAGCCCCCCCTCCAGGGAGGGGGCGGAGCCGTTACCTTCATGCACGTGTTGTAGAGTGAGATGTAGTTGGTGAAGAGGTCCAGGTAGCGGGCAGTGAACACCACAGCAAACAGGACCTGGCTCTTGCCCGAAATCCCTGCAGCCCCGCCAGACAAGGGAGAGATGAGGCTGCCACGGACCGGACGGGCACAGACGCGGGGACCAGCCTGGAGGCAGCTCTGGAATGCAGCCGTCCCCAAGGGCCTCCCAAGCACCGGGCTCCGGGCCCTTTCCCACCGCCCACAGCCAGGGGGCAGTCCCGGCCCTGAAGCTACTCCAGCCCGAGGCTCCATCCCAGGCTAGGCCTCATAACCACCCCGGGGGCCCACGAGGGTCCTCCCCCGATCTGAGCTGCGAAGGGGCCTGAGGGAGAGGACCCTGTCTGACCTCAGCGCCCCCCTGCCCCCGGAACCAGTCACCTCCCTCGCGGCTCCCTTCCTGGCAGCCACCGTCCACGTCACCAACTCCGGGCCACCTCCCCGCCTGCCATGGCTCCCTGCTCCCAGCCCAAGAACCTCCAGGCTGCCCAACTGGGGCTGCGGGAGGCTGAACTGGGGTCCTGGAGTTGCCGCCGCCCCCCCCCCCAAAACTGTGCGTCCTGCAGGCTGGAGAAGGCGGCCGACCCCCTGGTGACCCCAGACCTGGGTTCTCTCGCAAGCAGTGGGAGAGGACCGTGTGCTCCCAAACCCTACCCACCGAGTCCCGGGACGCCCCACTCCGGTCTCCCCGCCCCCCGCCCCAGTGGGCCTCTCACCGGCACAAGAGCGAGACTTCCAGATTTTGAGCAGAAGCAAGATGATGGCTAGGAGGTGGGAGAGGTCTCCCAGGAATCGGAAGAGATTCATGGCTGGGGGCGCTCTGGCAGGGCTGAGCTGCAGGGAGGCGGGCTGGCGGGGGGCTGCCCCCCGGGGCTGCTGCTCGGGCCGGGCGACCGGGCTGGGGGGCGGGAAAGGGACCCTCGGGTGGGCTCCGCTCGGCGGAGGGGGCCCTGGAAGGGGGAGCCAAAGCCGGAGCTGGTGGCCGAGCTGGAGCCGGGAAGAGGGAGGGAGAGCGGGAGGGGGAGGAACCCGGGCTGGGAGCCCCGCCCCCGAAGGCGGGAGCCGGTTCTCGGGCTCCCCCTGTCGCGCACCTGCGGCCGTGCAGCGTCAGCGCCGAATGCGCCCGCAAGGTTGCCTGCCATGAACTTTTGGGGTCTTTGGGATCCGAGACTCCCAAATCCAGCACTCGTGGCCCCAGGCAACCGTATCTCTTCCAGGACGTAGTCCAGCCGCCTGTGCTCCGCCCTGGGTGGGAATTCAGGAGGCTGGTGGCTGAGCTTTGAAGTTCGGGACAGAGACCCCAAGGCTGGGTTGCAGGCATCTGCCTCAGCGGGGGCCTCCCACTCCAAACCACCCAGGAGACAGGAAGGCAGCCCCCAGCCCCTCCTTCCTCAGATCCAAGGGTCCAGCCTCAGCCTCCCCTCCCTCAGACCCAGGGGTCCAGGCCCCAGCCCCTCCTCCCTCAGACCCAGGGGTCCAGCCCCCAGCCCCTCCTCCCTCAGACCCAGGAGTCCAGCCCCCAGCCCTCCTCCCTCAGACCCAGGGGTCCAGCCCCAGCCCTCCTCCCTCAGGCCCAGGAGTCCAGCCCCAGCCCTCCTCCCTCAGACCCAGAGGTCCAGCCCCCAGCACCTCCTCCCTCAGACCCAGGGGTCCAGCCCCCAGCCCCTCCTCCCTCAGACTCAGGAGTCCAGGCCCCAGTGCCTCCTCCCTCAGATCCAGGGGTCCAGCCCCCAGCCCCTCCTCCCTCTACTCAGGGGTCCAGGCCCCAGTGCCTCCTCCCTCAGACACGGGGGTCCAGCCCCCAGCCCTCCTCCCTCAGACCCAGGGGTCCAGTCCCAGCCCTCCTCCCTCAGACCCAGGGGTCCAGCCCCCAGCATCTCCTCCCTCAGACCCAGGGGTCCAGACCCAGCCCTCCTCCCACAGACCCATGGGTCCAGAAGTCCCTTCTCCACTGGGACCCAGGAATCTGGGGGCCCTCCTTGGAGCCCAAGTTCCTTTTTTTTTTTTTTTTTTACAGGCAGAGTGGACAGTGAGAGAGAGAGAGAGAGAGAGAAAGGTCTTCCTTTACCGTTGGTTCACCCTCTAAATGGCCACTACAGCCGGCGCACCGCGCTGATCCGAAGCCAGAAGCCAGGTGCTTCTCCTGGTCTCCCATGGGGTGCAGGGCCCAAGCACTTGGGCCATCCTCCACTGCACTCCCTGGCCACAGCAGAGAGCTGGCCTGGAAGAGGGGCAACCGGGACAGAATCCGGCGCCCCAACCGGGACTAGAACCCGGGGTGCTGGCACCGCAGGCAGAGGATTAGCCTAGTGAGCCATGGCACCGGCCCCCAAGTTCCTTTTAAGTACTGGGCATCCTGACTTCCCAGCACAAACCGTGCTTGGGGCCCCAAGGAGAAATACCTCTGTACCCTGTTGTTTCTTGAGCAACCTCAACCTCCATCATGCACAGGTGCTCAGACACCCCTGGGGGAAGGCAGTGTGTGCCCCCTGCAGACCACAGCCTCCCCTGGATCTGAGGGAGGAGGGCTGGGGTTGGACTCCTGGGTTGAGGGAGGAGGGGCTGGGACCCTGGATCCCTGGGGCTGGGGGAGGAGAGGCTGGGGGTTGGATCCCTGTGTCTGAGGGAGGAAGACAGGGGCTGGATCCCTGGGTCTGAGGGAGGAAGACAGGGGCTGGATCCCTGGGTCTGAGGGAGGAGGGCAGGGGCTGGACCCATGGGTCTGAGGAAGGGGAATGGGGGCTGGACCCCTGGGTCTGAGGGAGGAGGGCAGGGTCTGGACCCGTGGGTCTGAGGGGAGAGGGCGGGGGCTGGACCCCTGGGTCTGAGGGGGGAAGGCAGGGACTGGACTGATGGGTCTGAGGGAGGGGAGCAGGGGCTGGACCCGTGGGTCTGAGGGGGGAGTGCAGGGGCCAGATTCGTGGGTCTGAGGGAGGAGGCGGGGGCTGGCCTCAGTGAAGGAGACCTGGTTTGCAGGCCTGGCTTTCTAGGACAACAGAGGCCAATTGATGGCTGTAGGCAATGGACACTGAGGTCAGGGGAAAGCCCCCTGCTTCCCAAGCCTCAGCGTGGGGAGGGGGCAGCACTCGGCCCCCCAAGCCCTGCGCCCAGGTGCAGAGCTGCTGGCTCCACACCGGGCTCTGAGTCCCCACCTGCCCTCCTCCTCCTTTTTGTTTTCAGCCCCTCACTCCCTGGTCCCAGGGAGAGGGCAGAGGCTGGGAGTGGGGGGGGGAGCAGCCCCCTCCCCCCAGCCCTGGCAGGAGAAGGGGTCCCCAGGGACGCCAGGAGGGGGGGCTGTGGGTCTCCCGGCAGGGACGGACGGGGACTGAATGTTAATCGCATCCCGAGTGAGTGTGTGTGTGTGTGTGAGAATAGCGAGTGTGCGAATCCCTCCCGCTCCGGCTCCTCCAAGCCGCCGCCGCTGCCGCCGCCGCCACCAGCCGCCACCCTCCGCCCGCAGCCTCCCTCGGCCACCGGCCACCGGTGCCCAGCCGGGGGGTGTCGGCCTGGGAGGGTCCGCCCGGCCCCCAGGCTTCTCCCGAACGGACTGCCATCTCCCCGGTGAGGACCCGTGTGTCTGGGGCTGTGGTGCCGAGGGGGGGTGTGTCTGTGTGAGGGCTGCGGCGCAGCCGAGTCAGGGAGGGGTCTTTCTGTCTGCGCCCACCCTGAGCCCCCCCAAGCCTGGATGGATGCTGTGTACCTGGGATCTGTGCCTCCTGTCTGCGTCCCGCCGGGCGTCCGGCCGCCTGCGTCCTCCCGTCTGTCCAGACAGCCCGAACCCCATCGGACCCCCTTGTGTGTGTGTGTGCGCGCGTCTCCTTCCTCTGGCTCCGGGGGTGTGCGGGGGGAATCCCAGGGAAGCGAGGCTGTGCGTGTGTGCCCGTGTGTGTTTCTGCTTGTGTCTGAGAGTGGGGGTGCCCAGGGTGGGGGGCCTGGGGTGGACAAGCGAGGAAGGGAAGGGGCAAGCAGCTCCCCAGAGAGGCAGGCTCCCGCCCCCCGCCCCAGACACACGCCAGCCACTGGCTTCAGAGGTGACCCAGACAGACAGACAGACAGACGCTGGGGATGGGGGGTGCGAGTGAGCCAGGGAGAGGTGGGACCGGACACATGGGCGGGGGGAGGAGCCGGGGCTGAAGCAGCAGGGGGAGGCACCCCTGGTGGGCGGAGGGGGGATCCCCACGGGGTCGGGCCGCAAGAGGACACCCCGACAGCCTCCGCAATGTCCGGGGCCCAACTTCCAGCGCAACATGTGTAGCCGCGTCCTCGCCTAGTCCCAGTGGCCGCAACCTTGGGGGACAGACAGGGCAGGACAGGACCGAGGAAGAGGAGGGAGAGCCGGAGCCAGGGACAGGCAGGAGGTCCTCGCCGCTGCCGCTGCCGCCGCCGCCGCCGCCGCCGCCGCCGCCGCCCCAGGGCCTGCCCCCCCACCCCCAGCGGCTCCCTGGGCCCTCGGCGGAATCTTCGGGTCGCCGGACGCCGGGTTCCGGTCCTGGCCACCCCCGCAACCCCCCCCACAGAACAGGGTCATGAAAAGGTAAGCAGGGGCAGGGGATGCAGGGGTGAGGGTGGGGATGTGGACCCCCTCCCCAATCTAGGACAGGGAAAGTTGGCTGGGGGGGGTCCCTGGGGGGAGGGGCCTGAACGGTGGTGGGGAGTCCTTCCTGCCCCCCAGCACCTCACCCGCCATGAGTTGTCCTCCAAACCCACCTTCTTCCTCTGTGAGACCCTTTATCCTGGGCTCCTGCACCCCAGGCCTCCCTAGCCCCCCATCTGCCTGCCAGTGGCCCTTCTCCCAGCCCCACACCCCTCCCTCCCCTGCTCACCACCTCTCTGCACACCCCCCCCCCACACATCAGCAGCCCCTGTCTCCGGCCGGCCCCATGCCTCTCCCTCTCCGTCTCCCCTTCCATCTCAGAGCTATGAATCTGCTATTAATACTGCTGCCAAGGACCTTGAGGGCACCCCGGCCCCCAGCTGCCACCCCTTCCTCAAGGTTCTGGAACACCCTGCCAGCCTCCCTCAGCGGCAGGACTGGGATGGGGAGAGACCGGGGGGGGGGGGGCAGGACGCCGTCTGCAGCACGACTCGGGGTGGGGGGAGCTGTTGATCAAACTGGCCTCTTCTCTCCTTCTCCTTCTGTGATGATGGGGGGAGCAACGGAGATGGGGACACCCCAGGAGCCTCAGGCACCCTCCCCCTCCTCAACTCACGGACAGCACCTGAGTGGGACGGCTGGGGAGGCTGCAGTGGCGGGGGGGAGGGGGCACCTGGCATGTGGAGGCTGGCAGAGTTTGGGGCAAGACAAGGGTCCAGGAGGGAGGGGAGGGCTGGGAACCAGGACTCCTGGGTCTTATGGGGAGAGAGGAGCCGGGAACCCGCACCCTTGTTTGCTGGGGGTGGAGGAGGCTCAGCACCCGGACCCCTGGGTCCTGGGACTCTGGGGGTCTGCGGGAGAAGTTGGGAGGACCAGGCTTCTGAGTCCAAGGGACGAGGGGCTGGGAGCTCCGTCTCTCCAGTCCCTGACAGCGCAGGGGACAAGGGTCTGGCCCTGCGGCCACCACCGTGTGAACAGGAAGAACAGAGACAGCAGACACGGGGCCTGAGGGTGCAGGCTCTGGCAATGGGGCCTCTAGCGCTGTCCCCAGCCCCTCCTAGGGAATGGGCTGGACACCCAACCTCCTGAGAAGGGTGGGGCTGAGGGTGCCTCCTGGGCCCCAACAGGGAAGCAGGACCCCCCCTCCGTGGGTCCCCAAGGGCAGAGGCCAGGTGGGGGCGGTTCTGACACAGGCAGGGTTGGAGGGGGCGGTGCTGAGGGGTGAGCAGCCCTAGGGAAGGGAGGGGAGAGCCAGAGTTAACCCCGCGGGGGCCAGGCCACAGCTGTGGGTTATTTTGGGGTGGAGGGGGGCTATTCTGAGCGCTGATTGAGCCAGCTGCTTGGGGACAGGCAACCAGGGGAGGGGCGAGGAGGAGCCGGCAGTGGGAGGGGCTCGTGCCAGAAGCCCCCACCCCGGGGGTGGGGAGACG